GGGGTACAATTATTTGCTTTATGTATCCAGGCCAGCTGTCAAAAGTTGTGGCCAAAGCAGCAGTGCCATATGAGATGGCCAAACAAGTGCTGGAATAAGATTTGTTTTTGCACGCGGCCTGTTCTTACCCAGGACTTAATCAGGACTAAATGAGGATTAATCAAAGTGTAAACATGACAGCATGCAGCACACTGAAAATATTGCACTCTAGAGATAACTCTTGTTTTAAAATTCACAAGTAAAATGACTTACTTGTTCACAGATAAGTTCAAATATTGCAAGATGGATACCAATACTGACATAACCTCACCTGTCATGCATCTGTGCAATCATTGGAACTCATGTCAGAATGTGCAACATAGAACCACATGTGTCCATCGCCGCTTGACTTTTCTCATTTGTGCAGTAATAATTAAAATAATGTCAGAATTTGCAATGTATAATACTTCATGCGGCTAATATGTAAATAGATGTATACACACAACTATATATCTATTGCACATTACTACTATGCTAAAGTTGGAGATTTTAAAATGTCTTCCTAAAGCTAGAGATTTTATTCTATTCTATTTTAGTTTAGAGTTATTGTTCATTTATCTTGTGTTGTGTGCTCCTCACTCCTACTGGTCTGTATCTAGCGATGCAACAATGGAATTTCCCCACTCTGGGATGAATAACGGATTCCTTAATCTCAATACAAAATAACATACTTGTTCTTATACATTACATACATGTTCGTCCATGTTAACTGTATGCATCCTTATCAATTCCTCCATCTTACTCTAAACTTCATGCAACACCATATTCCTCCTCTCCAGGAATATGGTATTTCATAATCTCAACAGTCATGTGACTTCTCCGTATAGTTTGTTCATAATCGCACACACCAAACATACTGTCCATATGTTTGGGCATCTTTTCTTCCTTGGTTTTGTGTAGTGTATTTTTGTCCAGGTATTTTTGGGTTTTATACATGTTTTTAGGATTGTTTTCATAGGTGCATTTTCTTTCTTTTTCTTTAAGTGCATAATAAAACTCAAAATATCACTGTAACTTCTGTATGCCAAGATTTCAAACACTCAGGCATGTAGTGAAGTTGTTGTGTTATTAAAGGGGTAGAGCAATTGACTTTGTAGCGGTAATTGAAGATGGATTGTCATATTAGTGTGTGTATGTTGCGTCCGGTTGGTTGCCGATCAAATATTAAACTCATTTTTTTACATTTAGAGAATTGCTTCCCACTTTATGACAATTATCATTTATTTGTTTAGTTGAAAATGATATACACACATTTCATACACAAATGCATCCATAAAAACAGCATTCTTCAGTTTTTAAAAGGGGTTAGACGAAGCAGACACGTCTCACTCATTCATGACAACACAAAAAACACATGCATAGAACATTCACACACATAGACAAGACACGCGCACAACACACTCGCACACACACAGAGTCATGTGTGCAAAATTACAAAAGAAAATGGATTTAATAACATAACGAAATCCAGAGAAAACACAAAAAGTAACCAAACAGGGGCTGAAGACAAGGACAGAACAGGAAGTGAAGACTAACGAGACACAGGTGATACACATGAGGTAATCAGAAACAGGAAGTAGAACTATAGATACAGCGTAAATTACAAAATAAAACAGGAAGTAAACCTAAACCATGACATAGACACCCCTTTCCTCCATGTTCTTCTTCAGAACTTCTCTTTTAAACCGTTTTTAAATGCAATATTTATGTGGGCAAACAATTATTGCTTTTTACCAACTAAATCACTTTGATCTAAATTTCAAAGCCAAACGGTCACGTAGTTGTCAATGTAAAGTTAGATTTGATAGTGGTGATCCTGGAGGAATCTTTGGATTGGTAAAGTGGTCTAGACTTTGGCAATCACTGGGTCTAGAGTTTACAAAAAATCAGACCAAATTGTCCATAACTTAACTTGGAATAACATAAGACTACAGCTGGTCTGAAGTTGGAGATACTCTACAAAACCTGGAACCAGTCGTTAATGAACGCGTATTAGACCTGGATCATTTCTGTGTACACTGCAAAAAGCTGAAAAATCAGTTTAAAAGTTGCTCAAATTTGGCAAAATGTGTCTTAATTTGAGCACATCTTGACCTTAAAACAAGATTTTCCAATGGAGAAAAGCAAAATGACCTTGTTTTAAAAAAGATGTCTCCCTTGGGATGAGAAAATAAAACAACAGTTATTGAAAAAATAATAAATGGCTTTGTACCATCGGCAAATCTTGTTTTAAAACAGTCAGAATGTACTCAAATTAAGATAAAAACCTTGATTCAAGCAATTATTACCTCATATGTTATCAATTCTTGCAGTGTATGTTGCTGTCCATGTAAAAAATAAAACAGAAGAGCTCATTTTCTTACATCATTATCCATCTTTGCATCTGTCTCATGTGTATTAAGAAAAGTAGAGCTCCTTTACAAAGACATGTATTAGAAAAAAGAAAAAAAAACTATCAATCATGTATCTACTAATACATTGGTTTCTCAGCGACCGAACCCCCTCCGAGCATCTCTCCCTAACAAAGACATGTTGTGGATACAGTACACACATGCTAGCTTGTGCTTTAGGCTGTCTGTCTGAATAGAAATATCGCTCTTGAATTATTAAGCAGGAAATGCATGAAATAGTTAGCGATAAATCAAGAATATGAGTCTGTCCCAGAGGCTACACAGACATAGATCACTGTCCCCTGATCATGGACAACATGTACACCAGGTTTCAAAGCAGTATTATTAAGTATTAGTATTGTTAGCAGTATTCTTCAAGGTTACAGGGTGAAGATAGAAGTTCCGAATTCCACTCCAGAATAAGGCGACGGAGTTCCTGATTCGACATTGACGAAGTGATTAATCGATCTGATAAATAGGATTTTAAACCAGCCAAGGGCTGTTCCTCTAAGACCTATATCACATTCTAGCCTCTGTCAGGTAGAATGCTGTGGGCTACTTGTGGCAAATGCAGCACTAAGGTCCAGTAGGCCCAGCACATGACAC